AAAAGTAAAAGATTAGCCATATTTTATGGGGTTTAAAGATCGGCCAAATCGGCCTTTTTAATGCCAACTATCCTAATTCCGTCTATAAATATTAGAGAAGGGAATATCCAGAGATAAAGATAGGTACTTTGCTTTACTTAACTTTATCAGACATATGCGGTTAACACAAATGTGACATATTTCTAGTGCAGGAAACACATTGAGGGCCAAACATAGGCAAACAAGAAAAGAAAAACTTAAAATGAGAGGGGACAAAACCAGTCAGCTAAGGAAATCTTTCAACGGTGTTGAGCTTGGATCTGCTATCTACGTATATAATGAACAATATTACGGCTCCTGACTAAAGATCTGAGCCCAAAACTAATTCTAAAATTTGGATAAAAAATACAACAATGGCTTGTATTGTCCGGGTATGCCTACACAACAGAAGATTTTTCGTATCATTCAATGGTAAAAATAACAGATGGAAAACGCAGAAGAACGGTCTCCTTTGGGGTAGCGTAATGGTACCTACACTGTATAATATTTACACAACCCATACCAGTAAATACAAGGACTTTTATTATGTAGACGATACATATATATTGTTGCATAACCAAAAACTTTTGTTGCTGAAGTATAGAAAAATCTAAATCATACTTTAAACACAATAAAAATAGACTAGGAATCAATTTTAAGCCAAACCTCAGAAAAAGTCAGATGTCCTGCTTTAATGTCACTAACAGAGATGCTTTTAAAAATCTAAACATCCAATAGTGTCATGAAATTTTTAAACTCTGGATTTGCTATAAATACCTTGAAGATAGTTTGTATCACACTTTGTCATTCATAGAACATTGTTTAAAACTAAAAGGCAAACTGAGGACCAGAAAAATAATCTCTGCAATCTTGTCAACTAAAAATGAGAAGCATTCTTTTGCAAGTATGGATGACACCAACACATATTTAACACGTAGATTTAGTTATAAATTAGACAGCCAAATTCAGCGAATATTAAGACAGACACACACATCCATATATAAGCTCTACAATATCGTAGCTATCAATTCACCTAATATCCGAAGATAAGTAGCTAGACTGCTAGAGAATAAAAGATACAAAGTCTAGAATCGCAACATCCACTCAACGAATACCAGCTCAATTTATGACTAAAATCGAGAAAAAACTGACCAAAGATTATTGCAAATTTGACAGTAAATCCACGTTTATTGGTTACATATTACCCCTAAATAGTAGATAAAACATTTAGAAGTATGTAATATTGGTGAACTGGTACATTCTTCTTATATAAATTAAGCATTCTTCCCTCTTTTGTGCACTACTACCAATTTTTACATAAAAATATCTATTTTTGCACTTAAATATTTATTTTAAGATAACCTATCCAGAATTATATGTAGTACACAGATAAAACCAGAAATAAAATAATAAAGAAGCTATATACAAGATATCGTAAAACAATGGATTAACTAAAAGTTCTTATTAATCGTATTCTTAAATAAAACGTATAAAGTCATATTCATGTTAACGTTAACAAAATACATTAGGAAATATTCGCATATGAAAAAACACGTCCAACTTGGTAATGAAATCCTTTTGTATTTATAAAGCTATTTTTAGAATAGCAGGTACCTACCAAAAACAGGTATTTGGTATTATACATATCTATTACATATTGTCAATATGATCGCCAACATTCATAACGGATAGGCACATCAAGAAGAAGAAGAAGATTACATACTGTAATGCGTAAGAAAAGGAGTCCGTATGAACCGTTTAAAATATATAAAATATATATATCAAGAACGCTGGCCTAAGTGCATAGTTGCCAAACTATCAGAGCTTACTTAAACCGATATAATTATAGTTCCAATATACAGTGAAAAAGATCTGAACGACCCCTATAATATATACACGTGAACTAAGCGAAATACATTTACGATACAGGGGTACTTATGAGCTCCAAATTTTTTTTAAGAATTATGAAACTATACATCTTAACGAATCGACAGAGCCAATATTATGGAATGGACAAGTGAGCTCCGTATATCGGTGTCCACTTGACCACGGAGCTCACTTGAACCTGAATTTTAACATGGGCGGAGTTCACTTTATGCCGTAGATATATATATATATATATATATATATATATATATATATATATATATATATATATATATATATATATATATGTATATACATATATATCTACAGTGGAGTCAGTAAAGATACCAGAGCTGAGAGAGGAGTCTCTATTGCCATTCGAAAAAATCTTAAAAACAATATTAAATCGTGGACTAAAGCAAATGAACAACTGCTGATATTGGAAATAAAAAAGAATGGTCAGAACATCGTAATTGTCGGAGTGTATGCCCCAAATGAAGTTGCAGACCCAGAAAGTAAAGACAATTTCTACAACAATATGAATGAAATACTTTTTGAAATTAAAGAAAACTGTGAAATCTTTATATTAGGAAATTTAAACGGCAGAGTAGGGAGAGAAGAAAATAACAGAGTCGTAGGAAGATATGGGGAACAAATAACCAATAACAACGGAATGCGTCTTAGAGATTTTTGTGAAACAATGTCCCTCAAACTTATGAATGGATTTTTTCAACACAAAGACATAAACAAATTTACATGGATACAACCTATTAGGAATCTGCGCTCGATAATCGACTACGTAATTCAACGTCAAACTTCCCAACTGAAAACAACTGACGTAAAGGTATACCGTGGATCAGAATGTGGATCCGACCATCGTTTACATATGGCCAACGTGATAGTTAACTATCGCAAAAACAATAACACTCAGGTTCAAAATATAGAAAGGAGACAAGAAGTAATATCTCCTAAATATAATCTAGAAAGCTTAAAAGTAGATTCAACGAAATTTCTTTACAAATTATGTCTTCATGGTATGCAACATATTATACATACAGGTGTAATTTATGGATAGGTATATATTTATTTTATTTTTGGTGGTTTTCTAATAAATAACAATAAATGTTGCTTAATTTATCTATGTCAGACTTTTTATTGATGCAAGATGTGCAAGAAAATTCACAAAAAAACGCGTTTTAAATTTGAACAGGTTTAAAAAGTATAATCTCCTAAGACGGGCCTCTAGTATTTGTTGAAAATAAAAATAACATCAAGTACACCTAATTAAATGTTAATTACAGTGTTTTTATTTTCCGTTCTCTGTGCATATGAGTTAAAAGACAACAGTAAAACATGCCATAAACAAAGTTTTACCATTTTTACCCTAAATTTTAAAATGTATTTTGTCCATTATTTTATAATTTTTATATTTTAATGTGTGTTATAAATGTTGAGTGTCAATGCTTTTACAAAAATCTCAACGAATAGTAAGTTACACTGAAGAATTGTGATATTTTTTTAAATATTTACGTCTTGAAAAAGGAAAAAAATAGACAAAAAGTCAAAAGAGTGTTTTTTTGAACATCTCGGCCAATATTCTGATTTCATCCCTAATAAACTGTGTTGTTTGTTTATATCGACAGTCGCTATAATGGCTAAAATGCTAAAACGCTAAAATGGCTAATGTTACAATTGACGTTTTTATACTTCTCTTTTATTTCATTTATTGTATTTTAAAAACTGGGTACGTATACATTTATGAACGTGATTTTTCAGGTTGTCCAATAACATCTACAGTAAATAAATATTTAAACCATTGACGGAGTTTTAGCTTTATTTAAATAATTAATGTCAATTTAGGGGTTAAAAAAATATATTATTCGTTATTAGCTAATACATGAATTCTTACCTTAATAAATTGAACATGAAGGTAAGGGTTAGTCGTTACAAGAACTGTTTGTTAAAAAATATGTATATTTAAAGTATAAAAAAGGATTGATTATTTAAATCAAACGAAAATAATTTATAAAAATATTACAAACTCTGTCAAAACAAAATTTCAAAAAGTCAATTGTCAGTAAACGAATCAATCAGCGATCATTGTTCTATGGCTGTCTTTGATCAATGCATGGTGTTGTGTATAGACAGGCGGTTTTTTAATATATATATATATATATATATATATATATATATATATATATATATATATATATAATATATATATATATATATATATATATATATATATATATATATATATATATATATATATATATATGTGTGTTAGATTTGAAATTTCCGCGGGAGCTATATGTGATTTCAGTTGTTTTCCGGGTTTGACTATATATATATATATATATATATATATATATATATATATATATATATATATATTGTAGTTTTGAGTTTCTTGAACCGTATTATATTTAATAGAAAATTAATGTTTTTTGGGTTTAGGTTCAATAAAGATATGTTACATGTGGAACTAGATAAATAAATTTTATATTATATATATATATATATATATATATATATATATATATATATATATATATATATATATATATATATATATATATTTAACAAATAACAGCGATGTTGCAATTTCCAAGAACAACAGCACTATAGGAAGTTAAATAGAAATGTTTATAAATCAATGTTTAACTCGATAATAACTTTAAAATCTAATTTAACCAAGTGCTAACGTTACAAGAGTTCCAAATATTAAAATGTGCGGGATTTCTTTTGCCCGACAGATATTTTTTATACCTGCTAATCATCTTAATAGTTGCGGTTTGGCGTGAGTAAGAAATCTTCCGAAAATTTTTTGATAACTTCTGTGTATCTGATCAATTCGGTAAATCCAATCCTGCTTTGCAAAAATATAAATAAAAGTAATCGCCGGACGAACTGGTTCTTTTATTAAAATCGTGACCGCTGATATGGTTGCATGTCAATGAAGATACACTCCGTCAACGTTGTTTTGAACATTTTTATCAATTCTCAACAACAATTTACTTAAGTTTGGCCAACGAGAATTTAGAATTCCCATGATCGGCGGAAGGTCAGAAGGTAGTACCAGCCGTACCGCAATTTAAAGTAGTGATAATAATAGTGATAGTGGCGGACATTTACGGTTTGACGTCAATAACCGAAAGAATGCGTAATGCGAAGCAGAGTGTTTTATTTGTTTTCGTATTATTCTTTTGTTTTAATGTGAAAGGACAAGATTATGAAGGTAAGTTTTCTGTGAAATATTCAATTTTGGACAGAACCGGCTTTGCTGGTAGATCGTTTTGTCACGTATTAATTTAATTTATTAAAATATTTATTAATAATGAAAAGATATAACGAAAATTGTTAGCAAATATGACTCGTATTTGTTTGGTAAAGTTGTTTTGTTATAATATAACAAACCAAAAAGGCATATTTTTGCATTTTTTGGAATTGGCTAAAAAAGTGAAAAACAGGCTATTTTATGAATTTTATTTCAGAAATTTTTTTAAAGCCCTTCTCTCTATTCAGATTGCCGAATATAAACCTCTCCTAATAATTGTTGTCATTCGTCTCTGTTGTTTGTAAGATGTTTCCACATTGGTCCTGCAGTTTTTTTAATATCGTCGCATTTGCGGTCTTCCTCATGGTCTTTTGGTTTCATATGGCAGCCAATTCCCGATTTATTTATGCCATCGGCCATCCCTAAAACGTTCGTTATGTCCAGCCCATTTCCATTTCAGTTTAGCTGTCTGTTCGACAGCATCTTTTACTTTTGTTCTATTACGAATGTCTTCATTGGTTTTATGGTCTTTGAGTGAGGTAACCAGCATCTGTCTTTCCATAGGTCTCTAAGTTTTTCTGATCTTCATGTTTATTTTAGTAAATGTCCAGGTTTGAGCTCCATATGTAAGTACAGGTTGGATACAGAAATTAAATACTTTGGTTCGCAGTCTTTGAGGTATATTTTTATTTTTAAGCATTTTTACACCTCTGCTTATCTCCGCAGTCTAATTTTCTTTGCTTACCTTGACATTTTGACCCAGATATGTATATTCATCTACGTGTTCTATCTCTGTCTCTTCGATGTTTATCATAGGTTTGTCATCTTTGTTTGACATTAGTTTAGTTTTGCTAGAATTCATTTTCAGTCCTTTTTTTAGGGATTCTGTGTGTAGCTCCTCAAACATCGTATTCAGTGCATTTGACGTGTCGGCTATTAGTACTACATCATCAGCGTATGTAAGATAGTTCAAGTATCTTCCGTTAATAGGGATTCCCTTATTTTTCCAGTCTATTGACTTAAAGATATCTTCTAGGGCAGCTGTAAATAATTTTGAAGATATTGTGTCCCCTTGTCTTACTCCTCGGTTGATTTTTACTAGTCTTGTTTAGATTCCATTACCCAACGTTACTATTACTTCAACTTGTTCATGAATATTATGTATTAATATTCTTTATCTGGAGACGATCCGTTTGTTGACTAATGTTTCTTCTATTGCCCACAGTTCTACGCTATCAAAAGCTTTTTGATAATCTATAAAAGCCATAATGGGAGATTGTATTCGTTAGCCTTTTCTATTACGGTTTTCAAAGTATATAGATGGTCACAGGTGCTGTACCCTTTTCTAAATCCGACTTGTTCTACTGGTTGATATCTGTCAAATTTAATTGTTAACCTGTTTGCAATAATTTTTGTAAAGGTTTTGTAAAGTTGTGAAAGGAAAGGAAGGGAAGTAAAATTAATCGATAATTTTTTAGGTCTGTGTTGTCTCCATTTTTGTGTATTAGTATTGTTTTAGCAGTATTCTATTGTTCGGGTATGTTGCCTTAAATTAGACATGTAGTAAATATTATTTTAAGATATGTTTATTCTTTTTCTCCGCTTTTCTTCAGAATTTCTTCCGCCTTTCAGTATTTCATCGCTTCCAGGAGCTTTATTCCTTTTTACTTCTTTTACTGATCTTTCTATTTCTTCGTTGCTTTTTTCGGGCACGATTTCTCAGTTGACATTTGTTATGGGCCTTTTTAAGTTTTGCTTTGAGAAGTTAGGGCAATCGGGTCTGGAACGCTATAAATTAGCGTAGAACATTTCAATTAAGTTTGAAATATCAGATTTACTTTTTACTAGTTGTTTTTGTTCATTTTTAATGATGTTTTCTTTTAAACCTTTTTGAAGTTTTTTAATGTCCTGTTCTATCTGTGTTCTTATTACTCGATTATGTTCCTTAATTTCTGCAGTGTCTCTTTTGTTTTGTCTCAAAAGATATTTTCTTTGTTTCAGCATGTTTTGTGATTCTACACTTATTTTGGATTTTCGTTTTCTGTTAGCGGTTGCCACTTCTGAGTTTACAGTTAATAGTTCTTTTGTTATGACTCCATTGATTTCATTTAAGCTAAGTTTATCTAATACTTTCGAGGGTTTCAACTTGCTTTTATATTGTTCTGTATAAGATTTTAGTTTATCTGTGTCTATATTTCAAGTTTTTCTAAATTTATTCTGAATTTAAAACAAACCAACAAACAAATTTACAAAAAATCCTTAAAAAATGGAAAAAATCCATGATAAAATCGGATATAACAACTAAAACCATTACAAAATAATGTGAAATCTATTTAGATAAATAATATAAATACCAATATTGATGCTGTTAAACCATGACAATATAAAAAATATTACAAAAAGCTACAAATTATTTAAATTGTAAAAAAAAACTCCCGGAATCTGTGTAATAGTTGTATGTAATTTTATATAAATTCACAATGTTGCCACATATCTATATATATATATATATATATATATATATATATATATATATATATATATATATATATATATATATATATATATATATATATATATATATATATATATATATATATATATATATTTTATATGATGAAAACGTAAAAACAAAACATATTTGAAATAATAATATATAATAATTTAAAATAAATCCTTTAGTAATAAAAGTTCTCCATATTCCTTAAGGACTAAAACATAATTTGATCAAACCCAACCCAACGTAATTGAAACTAATATAAGCAAGTTAATTACTGTAAATTAAAGTGACGTAGTACCTTTTCAACATTTCTTGTCATAGACCTATAATACAAAATATACTCACTCCAGTCTAGCCAGGTTTATTGACCACATGACCTAAATGACCAATAAGAAGGTCACGTGGTCGATAACCTCAGCCCATTCGAAAAAGATGCAGGGAATGATTTGCGTCAGATTTCTCTTTTGCACCGTGTTAACGGACTGATATTGCAACGATCTGTCTATCTTGTATTAGTTATATGTCTATTTTCCTTATTAACTAAAACACAACCTCACCAAACCTAACCCAACCTAATCGTGACTAATATCATTATAACTGATGAAACACAAAAACAAAATATTTATTTTTTTACAAATTAAAATTTTTTACAAAATTTTACAAGAAAGAATATTTTTTGAAAATATGTTATCGTTGTTTGAAAAGTGAGATAGCACTAACGACACCACAATCAAGATAGATGATATATTTCAAAATTTATGTCAAATCAGGAAAATTTTAATCACCTTATGTTTCGCTGATGACCAAATACTGATTGCTCAGGATCATGACGACCTGAGTTACATTACTCGGGAGCTAATAGAAGAATATAACAAATGGGGCCTCGAAGTCAACATTAAGAAAACTGAAGCCATGTGTATTGGAATGACAAACAGTCCATTAAATTAGACGATGAGGTAAAAATTAGAAACTGTGATGAATACAAGTACCTGGGTATGAAGATAACTCAAGATGGAACACTCGATGCTGCTATAAAAGACGAAAATATACAAAGTAGAAAAGCTATATCCATGATGAACGGTATTGTGTGGGACCAAACAATATCTAAAGCGAACAAACAACTTATATACAACACCATACTTAAAACTGTAATCACATATGGCAGTGAAGTTTGGCCAATGAAACAAAGAACAGAGAAATTGTTACTAGCAACAGAAATGGACTTCTGGAGAAGAGCAGCAGGCAAATCAAGAAGAGATCGAAGACCAAATGAGAAAATACAAGAAATGATGGGAGTCAAGTATACAATAGTTGATGACATAAAAAAAAAACAGTTAATATGGTACGGCCATGTACAGATAATGTCAGATGACACGATTCCGAAACAAATTTTGAAGTGGACACCACAAGGGAAAAGTGGAAGGCCGAGAAGAAGCTGGAGAAAGGGAATTAAAAAAGAACTAGAGGAAAGAGAAATGCCTCCAGGCCTATGGTTAAATAGAAAAGAATGGCGGTTAGGAGTCGGAAAGCATCGGAGAATGCTGTAAATTGATAGTAGTAGTAGTAGGAAAATTTTAAAATGAGAATTATAGAAAAAATGTACTTTGAAAAATAGAAGCCTTAATTTTAAGAGCATTAAAGAGAGTAGAAAGTCACACATAAAAAATATTTTAAATATCAACTCATATTTAAGGTCACCTGACACCTAGACAAATACTTATGACTTATTACTACATATTTGTTTTGTAAAGGTACATTGTAATAATTTAGGCATCATTTATGGCGTTTCGCTTGCAATTAACAAAAACAGTTGCAATCCCGGCTTTATAGATAGATTTGGACTTCTTATCTTGCATTTAACGTCTCTTTTGGAGGTTGCTGATCAACGTGGCTATTTGCACATTCAAAACTGTTGCACGAAACAATTCGATCAATGTAATTCCAAACCATTTACGAAGGTTTCGCCGCCAAGAAATTCTTCTACGCCCTACGCCTCTTTCTCCAATGATCTCTCCTTGCTTTATGAGCCATAGGAACTCATATCTTCTGCTTCTAGAGGCGTGACCAGGAAACTAAAGCTTTCTCTTCGTTAGAGTAAATATAATTTCAGGTTTAATAGTCAGTCTTTCCAGCACTGCCTGATTTGTGACTCTATTCATCCAGAAGACTCTAAAAATGCTCCGGTAGTCCCACATTTTAATGGTCCTTATATTTTTAAGCAGTTTCATCTTTACCAAGTTAGGGTTTATCTTTCCACACGATATATTAGTATGGAAAACACATAAGATCTAACCATTCTATTTTTTAGGGTAACAGATAGATACAATATTGTTAACAGTTTTTTTATTGTGACGAACGCAGCTCGTGCTTGTCCAATATGTGATCTAATTTCTTTTAAATGGTACTTACCAGTGGTCTCGTTGAACACAGTTTCAATATATGTGTACCGTAAAACCAGCTC